TGGATCAAAGGTTCCCAAAGCTTTCCAGCGGGTTGTAGATTAATCCAAACAGAATTAATTGCTATCAACATCTCCATTATTGTAGCACGTGACTACCAGGATGGTAGAAGGTGAACTGGATAGACCTTGGGCTTTCATCCAGAGCAATTCCTATCTGCTATACAAACAAACAATACAAAATTACATTTGTATCGCGCCTTTCACATCGGGAGGACGTCCCAAGGCGCTGGACAGTCAACAACAACAACAACAACAAGATTCCATTTATAAAGCGCCTTTCACGTCAGGAGGACGTCCCAAGGCGCTGCACAGTTGGGTCATGACCCGAGCAGGGGGGAAATGGTCAGGGTGAGGGGAGGGAAGGGAGGGAGCGAGGAGGGGGGAAATGGTCAGGGTGAGGGGAGGGAAGGGAGGGAGCGAGGAGGGGTCAAATGGTCAGAGTGAGGGGAGGGAAGGGAGGGAGCGAGGAGGGGGAAGAGAGTCGAGAGGGGAGCTGAAGGCTCGGTCAAAGAGAAAGGTTTTGAGACCGGCCTTGAAGGAGGAGAGGGAGGAAGCGGCGAAGGCACTGGGGGATAGAGTCAGGGATTTGTGAGAGAATAGAGGTATAAATGGACATGTAGAAAAGTAACAGGTACACACACACACATATACATGCACATGTGTACCCAGCACCCATGCATACATGAACATGCGCACACATGCACAAACACACAGACACACACTGGAATGTAAAGCACGGAGTGAACGAGAGGGCCGGGGCGTGTGTGTCAGACTAAGTGAATCTGGGAAAAGCTGCAATTAGCTTGACCTATCCTTGCTCATTACCAGCTTTAGGATTAATTGCTCTGCAGCGTTCAGCGCCAGTCTGCCAACTCCCACCCTCCCCGCCAGTCCTGTCGCTGTTACCACGTTTAAACAGCTTGTGTGATTGGATCTGCCAGTCCCTAACTCCGCAGTTTAAACATCGTCTGGGGACAATGGGAACAAATGTCAGCTGTGAGGCTGCTGACACCTTCATTACTGTCAGGATCAAAAGGCCTGCAGGCTATTCAAATGCTTCTTTACCATTTAGAAACGTCTCGGGAGAGGGAGCCAAGCTCTAGTTTTGTGCAGTTTTGTAATGCTCCAATCAACAAAATTATCTTGTCAAGAGTAACAATATTTTGCTTTGTATTACCCTCGGGTTCTTTGTCTCCAGCCTCCTCCAAGTCCCTCGTCCCCTCTTCTCCACCAGCAGAGGCCGTGCTTTCATCCACTATACCCTGGGACTCAGGAACTCTGCCTTTATTCCTCGCCTGACCCCCTCCTTGTCTATCTTCAGATCTCACCTGAAGACCTTCCTCTTCGACCGCGCCTACAGTCACTCCCCTCTCTCCCTTGGCTCTCCGTCCAGCTCCGCCATCGTTAAACGCTCCAAGCCGCGACCTCGCATGAAGGGTGCTTTCTAAATGAAAGTTGTGTTGTTGTTCTTCTTCTTCAGTCTCTGTCTCTGTTCCTGTTGTGAGGCTGATGTGAGGGAATGGTGCCATGGTTGTCGGGTGTCTCTGGCTCTCTTATTTCTCGAATTCCCGGCTCAGGCTGCACAGCTTGGAAATAATAACCCTGGCATTTGATCACGTCTTCGAGACGTCTCAAAGCGCTTCACAGGATACACTGTAAAGTGAACTGAGTGTATAGTTTGCGGGCAAAACGCAACTCGCTTGCTTTCTGCTCTATATGTCTGAGCTTCACCGTGGGTTTGGCACTTATCCACAGAGTCACTGAGGGAGCCTTTGCACTGAGCAAAAATGTATTTGACTGAGCCTTACTTCAAGAAACTTTCAGAAAAAAGTAATAATCTTGACATAGTCTTGACATGGTACACAGTCACTACACGACACTGAGCCAGGTGTCAGCCTCACTCTCACTTTTAAGCCAGAAGTTTGTGGGTTCAAGCCTCATGGTGGGATTCTGAACTCATAATTTATGCCGAAGCTTTAGTGCAGTGTTGGGCGAGTGCTGTACTGTCAGAGGTGCCATCCTTTGGACGAGATGTTAAACCGAGGTTGTGTTTGGCTGTTCGGATGAACATTAAAGATCCCATGGAGGTTTTTGCAGAGAGGGAGAGGGAGAGGGAAGCTTCTCCTGATGCCCTGTCTAGCAATCCTCCAGACAAAATTGGTCAGGCACTTCATTACTGTCTTTGGGACATTGCTGAGCACAAATTGGCTGCTGCACTCGCCCATAAATACAGCCACTGCACCTCACAGTAAAATCTTTAGCCCTTGGAGACATTTTAAGGCTGTAATAGGGCCCTATATCGAACGCAGGAATTATTATCAATTAGTGGAGTGAATTTCTTCAGTGGGAAACTTACGTTGAACTCTGCATTAACATAAGATCTCAATGTCGCTGTTTCTTTCTCCATTTCCAATCCCTTGTGTGTCAATCACTGTTTGAGTTGTTGTTGTCGTGGACTGAGTGAACACATTATTATTATTTGCTTATTATTATTATTTTTTGAAGGAATTATTGCCTGCAGAAAGTGATCCGCCAGTCGACTAACGACCGGGTTCCTACTTATCGATAGATAAACACAGTCGTGTGGAAGCAGGAAACTTGCCCAAAAATTCCACCTCGTCTTAACCTGTGAAAGCATTTTGTCTTAAGAACGTAAGATCACCCAGAATTGTGGAAAGTTCTTACATTCTGACTTAATTTAGAAGCTATTTTAAAAAAAAGTTTCTAAATTAATACCAAATTTTTCACAAAAGTGTGAAATTTGAGGGTTCCCGAGTCACAAAAGAAAAGCAGAGACAGAGAGAAGCTGTGGACGAGGCTGTGATATGTGTTCTGTTTAAATAAACCTTTCTCAGTCTCAATTTTCCCACAAAATATACAGTCAATTCACTTTACAGTATATCCTGTGAAGCGCTTTGAGACGTCTCAAAGACGTGATAAGGCGCTGTACCAAATGCAAGGATTATTATTATTATTTTCTCTGCTCCAATGTTTCACCCTTCCCGAAGCCACTGACTCCTGGTGGGAATGGTTCACCACTGCTGAGCCCAACCCCACACACCAGGAATCTTTCCCTGAGGCTGCCCGTCTGCACAGCAATCAGCAACGAAGGTTACCAGTCAGCGCTGGTCAATGGCAAGCTATATGGTTTTAGCTGGTTGGACACCAGCGGTTACCCCAACGCACACTCTGGGGTCCCCAAGACATGGATCTTGCCAACCTGTGCTTAATACTTTCCGGAATTAGGTCACCGGGACACATCCACAGCGTACAAGCGGAAAGGCTGAAGGCCCAATGGCCGATGGTGGGGTGGGGTGGGGTGGGGTGGGGTGGGCTGGGCGGGGGGACATGCAGCAAACCAGAGTGCGCCGGCAGAGGGAACAGACAAGCCAGTAAAGGGTTAGCAATGTAGAGACAGCCATCACAGTCATTGTAGGCTGGGGAACGTGATGGATGGATCAGTGCAGAGGAAGAGAGAACGGAGGAACCCACGAGGCTGAGGAGGAGGAAATGAGGAGAGTTCAAAGCCTGGGAGGCTGGGGAGACTGGAACAAGGGTTGAGGTCAAAGGGCCGGTTTGTGCTGAGGTCACAGGGCAGCTGTACTGACACCACAATTGGCCTCAGTATCTCTGCTCGTGGCAGGTGGGATGGGTGAGGGGAGAGGAATGAAGCAGTGCTCTCACTCCCGATCTCTATTCAAATGACCTCTACCAGAAAGTGCGCTCCTGTGGACAGGATTGATGAGGGCAGGATTGGGGCTTGGCTGGTGATTCAGCCCCTAACCCCCCCTCACCCACCCCACCCCCCGCCCCACCCCAGCTCACACTCACTCAAACACATGAAGAGGTGCCATTGGAGAGAGATGGCGGGCGACAACAACTTGCATTTATACAGCGCCCTTCATGCTGTGAGTGGGGTGGGGGGGGGGGCTTTTCAGAGCTCTTAGGGGCAGCCCCTGTAGAACTGACTCCCAGAGCAATTCAGGAGAGGACGGGAAGCAAGTCAAAGGGAGTGGAGGTGGCTGGGGGGGGGGTGGGGGGGGTGAGAAATGATCATCGCTGTTAAACGCTGCCCGATCCAGGTCCTGGTCTCAATGCTGCGATCCCTTCACAAGGGATCTGCAGTCACCGAGAGCAGTTTATTTCTTTCCCCCGATGACTGCTGCGAGGCCCGGCTTTGCTCGGCGATGCAGCCAGTTCCGTACAGGGGGGAGGGGTGGGGGGGGGGGGGGGGGGTAGGGGGCGCGGGGAGCGCGGAGAGATAATGAAAAGTAATGAAGTGAGCTCTAATAACAGAGCCAGCTGTTCCGAGCAAATGGCTGCAGCTCAGCGTCGAGCCGGGCACTGGGGTAATTAGGAGGCTCTGCCTGCCCTCCCGAGCGCTGCGGAGGCTGCTGTGAGTAATGGGGTGATTACCCCTGCGCGAGTGGGAAATGCCTCGAGACGAGGTGCGTTTCATCATCAGGAGGCAGCCTTTATCTCCGAGATGTGTGCGCGCTGTTTTTTTTCCTCTCTCTCTCTCTCTCGCTCGCTCTCTCTCTCTCGCTCAGGCAGAGCCTCCCCAGAGCATTGCCCACGTGTCGCGCTTGTCTTTGGATTTATCGGGATGTCGAATCCCGGACGTTTTCAGTGCAGAATAAGGCCAGTCGTCACCTTGTGCCTGGGCCGACCGGCCGGCTCTCTATTTAATTTCTCTCATCAGTTCTCCTTCCCCCGCCTTGTTTCCCTCCCCCCCACATACTCCCCCACCACATCATTTTAGGCGTTTCCTGTTCAAATGTTGACTAATTCCTTCTCCAAAGCTATTGTGGTGTCAAACTGTTCCACTGTCCAGCGTTCTGAGCCGCATCCCCATATGAAGGGCGCTGTGTAAATGCACATTGTTGTTGTTATAGGGGAGCCATTGGATGGGGAGCCATTGGAGTCGGGTGAGGATGGGGCTGATGAGGTCACCGAGCCTGGTGCGGGAGAGGACACGAGCTGCAGAGCTCTGGATGATCTGCAGGTGGTGGAGGGAAGAGTTGGGGAGGCCGACAAGGATGGAGTTTCCGTGAGGTGATGACTGCATGAGAGGCCTGAGGGGTGAGGCTATGGCGGAGTCGGGCAATGTTGCGGAGGTGGGGGAAGGCAGAGCGGATCACAGCATTGGATATAGGGGAGAAAGGACAGTTGAGGGTCGAACAAGATGCCCAGGTTCCTGACTGGTTTCGGATGAGGTGGAGTGGTGCATCCATGAATGCTGATGCTGCCGGTGCCTGAGGTGCCAATCAGTATTGCTTTAACCAGACATTATCAGGTGATATTATTGCATGGCTGAGGAGCACATAATGTATTTACCCACTGAATTGAGGAATAACTTAAATGATTAATATTAATAATCAATGTTTTTGCATTTGACACCTATAGCATCAAAATGTTTCGAAGTGCTTCATAGTGTCTGTGGATTTGTAGGCAAACACAGCAGCGAATCTGCACAGAGCAATGTCCCAGAACAGCAATGAAGTGAATGACCAGGACACTGGGAGAAACTCCACCTTTCTCTATAGTCCCGTGGGGTGTTTGATATCTATCTGAGCAGGCTGATGAGATCTTATGTTTCATTCAAAGGATGTCACCTCCAATGCTCACCAGTTCTGGTCAGGCTCCACTGGCTCCCCATCACCGAACGGATCGACATCAAGATTTGAACTTGTGTTCAAATCCCTTCACTCTCTGGCACCTCCCTACCTCTCCAATCTCCTCACTGCGCAACGTGAGGATTCTGTAATTAATGTGTTATATATTATCTGAAAGCATAATTGCGACGCTTAATGTTTTTAAGGCTTTAGCATTACAGTATGGCCAACTAATCCCAAAAGGCATAATGGGGACTGGTTGTCTCAATGACTAGCTTAGAATGGGTTAAAAGTATCATTGCTAGACTGGTTAAGGTCAGCTTCTGATTACATTTCATACTTTCCTGGGAAGGTGTTCACTCCTCTGGAAACGAAAGACCAAAAGAAAAGGCGACAGCCTCCCTCAGACACTTGCTTATCTCAAGGTTGAGAAGCAGGCAGGTTGGAGAAGGCTGCCAAAAGCAAAAGTTGCCCATCTCTCTTTGTCCCCATCAGTTCTTTTCTCATGGGGAAACCAGTCGGCTCAAGGTCACTAAAAGCTTGAGGAGAGTGGGGAGCTTACTCCATTTTCTTTCAGAAGAAAAACTAGAGGAAAAGAAACCATCTTGTGAAAGATGAAGTAGATGAAAGGTCATCTACCAACTGGATAAAGAGAGATCGATTTGTGAAGAGAATCAGAAGAGACAGGGAGTTGGAACTTGGGAGTCGTGAACCATACGCCAGCTTCTAAAGAAGGAAAATCAAGACTAAGACTTAGACAACTTTATCGATACTCTCAAACAGGCATCAGTACCGCAGTACCTGGATACCTTTCCGTTGCCTGAGCAGGCAGCAGTGCGGTACCTGAATACATTTTGGTGGACCTTAAATTGGACGTTACTCCTCCATCTCCTCCACAAGATTTGGTTTGGCCGACCTTAATCGTTGTGAACTGTACGTGGACACGTAAGCATTATTCTGCTAAATTATTTTAACTACCTACAACCATTATTAATCTGAATTAATAAACATCTATATTTTGCTATAAGATTTGTGTCAGTCTTTACTTCACGCCAGGGCTAAAATGGACATCTTACACCAACCTACCAACTAAGTCAGAGCTTCCCAAGTAAATTGTTTGCAAATTTACAGAGCTCAGGATTGGGAATATGTAATAGATTTCACATCAGACACTCACCCACCTGGTCTGTCATGTTATTGATGTCTATGATGTTACACTTCTCAGGGAGTCCTGTCTGTCCTCAGCACTGCCCTGGAGTTCAGCTCTCTAACACATTGGGACTTTGAGCTGCAGTGTCGTGGGTGTCCTTCAGCTGAGATGTTAAAACAAAGTGCCGCTGTCTGCCTGATCGTGTTGATCTTAAAGATCCCGCGGTCCACCACTTCATGACTGTTTGAGGGACTTTGCTGTGCTGGCATTTTGAGTACAAATAGTACAAATACAAATCTTACATCACTTAACAGCAATTATGTCTGAAATGCTTGGAGACATTTTGATATTTTAGAGTTGCTGTATCAAATCTGAGTATTATTATCAATAATATTTGGCACGTTGCCATGCAGGTGACACTTGATTAATTGTATTACCTCTAACAGCGATGCCCAGTGAGACATACGAACAGCAAAGTACAAGGAAGCTCTGGGAGATTCACACCAGAGAAATGCAAAGTCCAATCCCTGATCTGTGATGACTTAGGGCTGATCTCAGCCTCAATATCCCCGGGTTGGAGAGGAAATCAACCAGGATTCCTGCTCCAGTTCGCAATCCAATGCAATCTCTACAAGTAGATGTGTTGGCGAGGACTGGATTAGGTTTTGCTGTAGTTGAACATTGTCTGACCTCACAGATCCAAATGATTGAGGTAGAACCCGATTGTCAGGTTTCAAAACCCTTCCAAAAAAACTATCTCAACAATGGCTTTGGTTGTCTCCCTCTTCAATTGCCACTTTGCTAAGATTATCACACTGTCTCTGTTAACTGCTTTGAGACATTATCCTACAGCGTATCCATAAAGTCCTCTTACCTCTTGTTACAATTCAGTGATATGAGACTATGGAGGAACTGAAACAAGGTCTCAGAGATGCATTTCACCTCCTCACTCCATCCATGTTACGGAAGATGTCGCACGGAACATGCTATGAAAATGATGACACTCACACACAGCGAAACTCTGAATGTCTAAATACAGTTAAACACTTGGACTGAATACAACTAAGTACTTCTAAATACAATGATCATCATTCCTCCACATGTTTCAGTTGTTGGTCACTGCACTGTGTGTAAAAAAAACATGAGGGTAACAGGACTTTGTGGGCACCCCGGACATGAAAGGTACAATGTAAGTACAAATTCAGTGAGCAAGTAGTAACCTTATGGAACAGGCTCCCGAGGGAGACGGGGGAAGCAGAAAGTGTGTCAAGAACAAATTAGATAAGATTTCTGCTAGAAAATAATATCCCGGGATACAGTGTATAGTTTGGGACACGACATGTCAAGCGACCCCCAGGATGGTGGAAGGCGAACTAAATGGACCTTGGGCTTCATTTGCCGAGCTAATTTTCGGGTTCTTGAATTGTTGTTGAAGTGCCAGAGGACAGCCTATTGCTTGTGGAACTATTTGAACGAAGACATTATACCCAAACCTGCACCTTCTTCCAGCACTGGAGAGCGGTCAGCAGTGGGAACCCTTCCTCGTTTATCTGCGCAGAGACTTAACTGTAGTCCCTTCTACTGTCTTGGCGGAGATCAGCATCTCAGCACAGAGGGTTCTGGACCTGTCTGGCTCACTTTTACACCAGCCTGAGCTTAGCTTTTTNAACTTTTTTTTTCTGTTCATCACAATTGCTTTTACTCAGCATTCGAAATAGAAAAGTGTTATCAGATGTTCCAGCCGGGGCTGAGTGTGTGTCTCCTAAGATCTATTAGCCTGCTGAAGAGCAATTTCTAAATCCAATAGGAATTTGTTTTATTTCGAGTGGAAAAGGCCAAAAGGGTTAAGGCAGACATCAGACTATGTCTTTCACGGGCCGTCCAGTAATAGGCCTGCCAGCACGAGCCGCCCTCAGCCTCATGTAATTTCAAGCTGTTACAAGGAATGAGCAAAACAATTCATTGTTGGCAGAGCTAATGTTGGAACTGTCAGCGCTCAAATTAATGAGTTCCAAACTGAACACGGTCCCTGCCTGATGATAAGTATGCCGGACTGGTCAATTAATTACAAAAGAAAGATCAATTCATAATGTGCTTCCAGAGCAGCGATGCTGTTCACTGCTGCGAGACACGAGGCTTGCGGTTGCAGCCGTGCTTCTGATCTCACTGATGTTCTGCCTGCTCCTGCTGTTGTAAAGAGAAGTCGGGATCGATGCTGCGCTATCTCCCCGTTACTGACTGCGTTCACTTTTCTCTGGTTGAATTTTGTTCCAGAGACCAGAGGCTGACAGCAGCCGACCGACCCATTGCTGATACACTCCGGGTTGACGTTTGCCGAGCAGACAAGAAGAAAATGACAGCTTCTCAGGAGGAACCGACAAGTTCCGTCCACCGTCGTGTATTCATCACAAACCCTCCAACTTCCCCCTGGTTTAGTTCCAGTCTCGGCCTCCCCCTCCCGAAGACATTGGATCATCTAATTATTGTAGGTCGGTTCAAAGAGGGTTGTAAATTTCTATTAGTGAGGTGAGTGTGAGAAATATACAATATACTCATCGCGCCTATATGGCATTGGGCGTTACCCAGGTCCCTAAGCGTCATTCATCACCACTGGGCTCCATCGCAGTGTACAAGTAATAAAAGGACTGCAATTTTAGCAATTGGTGGAGTCCCCAGGGAGCTATTTGGCGACAGAGAATCACAGACCTGCTCATTCCTATCCTCACACATTCCCAGCCGAAGAGTCTTCAGGAGCTGGAATCTTTCTAAGCTGATCACTTTCTCGCCTGCAGTCTTAACAAATGTAGTTACGGCAGCAGCAGTGTCAGTTTCACTCTCTCTCTCTCTCCTCCGAGTCAGAAGCTTCCAGGTTCACTTTGGGCCTTTGTTTGAAACTCAGTGTTAGGCTGACACTCCAACCCCAGACAAAATTGGTCATTCTTTGGTCATTGGTCATGGCTGTTTGTGGGATTGTGTTCGAATTGGCTGTTACTTTCGCCTTCAAAATGCAATCGATACACTTTTACTGTACTTTGAGATGTCCTCCAAACGGGAAAGGAGTAAAATTACACATCACATGTAAAGATTATTATTATTGCAGTGCTCTCCCACAAAGTCACTGCGGAACTTGATATTGTATATTTAATAAACAGCCACTGGGTTCAAGATTGACTGACCTGCTCCAGCTCAGGGTGCGAGTGGAAAGGCTGTGACCTTCAGGCTCAGAGTGTTGACGTTTGTATGGTGCTGCTGGTATTTTGAGGGTTAAACGCCAGCCTCCCATTCCTCTGGTGCCATCTGTGATCCTTCAGAAGGCAAAAGCACTGTCGGAACCGCAAGCAATTCAGAGTTAAAGAGGGGAGGCTATCGTGGTGTAGCACTGTACTGCGGGTCACCAGAGAGCATCGGAGGATTAATAGATACCAAAGAGCGATTACCAGCAGTAATCTAATAAATGGGCAGTGAATCCCAAGATTAGATCTTTGCTTTGAAGTCACTCTGGTATCTCCTTTATTATTAAGTAATATATTGTTCCCATTTTTTCTTGAGTTTTACTTTGTTTAGTTTGTGTTGATCTTCTCTCCCCTCCCGAAGGCGTTGACTCGTGCTGGGGTGGGGGTGTGGGGGGGAGAAGAAGTCACCGGTGTCCGCCTTGGCCCAGTGCCAACACCTTTTGCGTGAGTACATACGGTGAGTGATATCAAACCAACAGAGCCTTCATGGTCGGCCAGAATAATATTTCTTAGTCACTGACTATTTCTTGATTTGGTGCCGTAAATGAAGAAATATTCAGTCCAGAAAAAAATGAAAACACGTTACTGATCGAGTGTGGACTTACCCAGACTCGAGCAAATGTTCGGGGGTGGGGGGGGGAGGGGGTGGGGGCTGCTTCTTGACAGGCCTTGTGGGCCACAAGTTGGCCGTCAAACTGCTCTACACGTTTCTATGTATTTAAATATCAAATTAAATCTGCAAATTCCCACTTTTCTGAAAACGATGGGGCAGAACTGGTCCCAATCCACCGCAGGTGCAGCGTTACATCGGCTCAGTTTCATTTTCAAAAATAGCAAAATGGCCGTTCGCTGTCACTTTGACGAGGGGTTGTGTTGTTGCCCGAAACAGTACAATATGGCGGTGCCAAAGCCACCGACAGTTTGTGTCCGGGTGTATTGTGTGATGGGCCTGATTATTTCATTGTTAGAGACAGCCTTTGGGTGAGAGTCGCTCGGGCTCGGGCTCGCTGCTCACCGCACCGCGCGTCTGTGTAAACTCCTGAGATCGGCTGCAACACGTTTATTATTTTGCAGAAATGGTTTCGTTACTGTCACATCGCCTACAGTGCCCTGTAGCTCAGTGGCTAACGTGCTCGCCTCGCAAGCAAGAGGACCCGGGTTCGATTCAGCGGATCGCTTTTCCGGGCGTAATAATCCCTTCAAAAAATATATGCATAATTTTTGTCAATCCACGACTGTTTGTTTATGACCTTTTACAACTGGCGGCCGCATTTCGCCCATAAAGCACACAGTCAATTCTCTTTACATGAAGTGCTTTGAGACGTCTTGAAGATGTGATAAGGCGCTACAACAAATGGAAGGATCAGTATTGTTTTTAATTGCGAGCAGCACAAATGCCTTCCCTTTACTGGTTCCCCGGTGACACGGCATGTGCTGTGAAAGCAGATGTTTGAACAACTCGAGTGAAAAATACCTGCCCCTGTGGGCTGGGGGCCGATCCATTACCCGTTCCACCCAGTGCCTCTGATGTTTTTTTTCCCCTCTTGCACTTTCCTCATGAATAGGAAGAAGTAAACTTCACACCTCACTGGCCAGCAGTTTGTATCTCCTAGAAAATCAATTCCCTGCATTGAACAGACGCTCACACTCTACGGGATTCAGTTTCTGTCCGATCCACGGCCCAGCGAAGCCACTCCACTGGGTGATGTCCCCGAGTCGTGGCTCCGTGATATCATCCTCTCTCATCGCTCACACCAGCCGAGGGTGAATTTGCGCAGATTCCAACATGGTCTTTCTAGGCGTGACTAACAATTTAGCTCCCAATCTTTGACCTGCTCCCTGCCCCCACCCTCGATCTGGTCAATCTCATCATTATCTCAGGTTATTTAAGGGTCAGAACAAATAGGTGTGTGTGGGGGGGGCGTCACATATTATAATCCCACGTCTCTGCTAAACATGCAGAGCTAAACAATGAATACATCATACTTAATTTCACATTTCGGTACTTAGTGAATATCTGTGCCTCACAGCGAGAGGTGTCAGTGCTGACCTCTGCGTAGGCTTCGAGCTTGTGCTCTCGCTAAACTGTCCCAAGCAGCATTAACAGATCAGCTACGGTACAGGCTACATACAGAATAAAGCCGTGTGCGTTGTACACCCCGCACTCCCAGGTCAGCGATAGCGTGGGTTACACATGGTGAAGCTCCCAGTGCACTGCGTCCCATTCCCATTCCCACTCAGCAGTGATTTGATGGACTCCGTGTCTGACAGTCCATCTTCAGCAGATGGACAACAACCAATCAGATTGTTGACTGTCTCAATCGTGGTTACCTGCGTAACGTGCGTAGCCCCTCCTCCTCCCTGATCGTCGGAACTAGAGACGTCCCAGAAACCACCCCCACTCCTCACAATCCATTATAGACAGGAGAGTGTCTCTCTGTGATTTGGGAAGGTGGGATCTGTTCCTGTGTGATGGAGGAGGTCACTTCCTGTGTAATGGAGACAGGGGTGACTTCCTGTGTGATGGAGGAGGGGGTGACTTCCTGTGTGATGGAGACAGGAGTCACCTCTGGTTTGATGGAGACGGGGGTCACTTCCGGTGTGGAGGCAGGGGTCACTTCCTGTGTGATTGAGACAGGGGTCACTTCCTGTGTGACTGAGACAGGGGTCACTTCCTGTGTGATTGAGACAGGGGTCACTTCCTGTGTGATTGAGACAGGGGTCACTTCCTGAGTGATGGAGTCAGCGGTCACCTCTGGTGTGATGGAGACGGGGGTCCCCTCCTGTGTGATGGAGGAGGGGGTCACCTCTGGTGTGATGGAGACGGGGGTCACTTCCTGTGTGATGGAGACTGGGGTCACTTCCTGAGTGATGGAGTCAGGGGTCACCTCTGGTGTGATGGAGACGGGGGTCCCCTCCTGTGTGATGGAGGAGGGGGTCACCTCTGGTGTGATGGAGGAGGGGGTCCCCTCTGGTGTGATGGAGGAGGGGGTCACCTCTGGTGTGATGGAGACGGGGGTCACTTCCTGTGTGATGGAGGAGGGTCTCCCTACAACTCGATTGGAAGCGACTGTCTCCGAGTTGCTCTCCCCGACACTCGCCTGCGTGCGATTGGGCGAACTACGCACAAAGAGAAGCAAAATGAACGCAGGAAGCTTTTGTGACACCATCATTCGGAGGCCATTCACACACACACACACACACACGGTCCTGAACCTCAACATTCCCTCTTTCCCTCCCACTTTGGCTCAGGAGCTGAGTGGGAAGAATCCCCGCCTCAGTGACCACCCCCCACTAATCCCCACCACCCCCCACACCCCCACAGGGCTGCTAACATTGGCAAGTTGACCTTTCATCAGCAGTGCCTCGGAATACTGCATTGTCAGAGATTCCGTCCCACAGATGCGATGTTAAACCTGGGTCCCGTCAGACAGATAGACGTCAAAAAAAATCTGCAACGATATTCGACAACAGACTTCTCTCCCGATGATCCGGCTGACAATCCTCTGGTGCAAAATGACGACCGCATTTGACAACAAAAACAACATCTCTCCATTTGACAGTGATTGTGAAGCACTTTGAATGGGATGAGATGCCATAAAAAAAACCGCAAGTTCTTTCTTTAACAATCAGATCAACCGCTGGGCGATCCCAGATCTCATCACAAAGTCATAGTGAAAAGACCACTTTAAGAGAGCGTGGGTGAGTTGCCACAGCGCAGGGTTGGGGAGTAGGGATCGTGTCACGTTGGCTCTGTTGGCAGCACTCTCACCGCTGAGTTGGGCTGTTGGTTCAAGCCCCACACTGGGATTTGGAACTCATATCCTTCGGACTAGACGTTAAATCGATGTCAAGTCTATCTGCTCAAGGGGACAATAAGGACCCCGTTGGCCATTTGAAAAGTGATGGGAGTTTCTCCTGGAGTCCTGGCCAGTAATCCCCCAATAAAGTTGTTCATTCATTTCATGGCTGTTTGTGGGACGTTGCTGTGTGCAAATTGCCTGCCATGTTCGCCTTTAAATACAGAGTGACTCTCTGCAGTGTATACTATGAAGCACTTTGAGACATCCTTCCCACGTGTGGATGTAAGGATTATTATTTTACCTACTGACAATGTCAGTGTAAAATGTGCTGCTTCTTTATATAATAATAACAATCCTTACATTTGATACAGCACCTTATCACAACTTTGAGAGGTCTCAAGCACTTCACGGAATATCCTGTAAAGTGAATTGACTGTATATTTTGTGGGCGAAATGCAGATGCCAATTGCGCACAGCAGCGTCCCCACAAACAGTTGTGGATTGAGTGACCAAATTATACATTTTTTTGAAGGGATTATTACCCCCGGAAAAGTGATCCGCCAATCGATTAACAACCGGGTTCCTCCTTACTGCTGGGGAAACTGGATCAATGTTTCGGCCTTTCACTTGCGAGGCGAGTGTTCTGTAGCGCCATATCACTTTGTCGAGACGTCTCAAAGTGCTTCACATAATATACTGTAAACTGGATGGTGCAGTGCTGCCAGATGAGATCTGAGGCCAAGCGTTACTGCTGATAGATGACCTCTAATATCCTCCCCTCAGTTAGCGAACACTGACCTGCTTCATGACTTCCGGACCTCCCCCCACCCCATCCCTCACCGCCAGCCACTTCCAGCCACTTTGCCCTCACTCTCAATTTCAAAGATGAAGGGTCAAGATGTAGGGTGTTTGAGGTCTCTTCCTGCTCTCCCGACCCTCTTTGGCTTCTCCCCCACTCTTAATTCACATCCATCTCTCCCTCACCCCCCCACCATTCCCGCTCGGCCAGGGTATCCAGCCAACTTTGGGAAATCCTCCCGACATGAAAGGTGCTACACAGTATTTTATTGTAAATTGTGTTCAATAATTAGCCAACGCGCTGTGATTACCTCTGACACTCATACGCGATGGTGCTGACAACTGCAGAATCCCCTTCGTGCAGTGCACTCTTGTTGGACATGGCGTAGCTGAGGATGGCTTCAGTCGTTGAGTAAGGGGTCTGGCCCAACACACACCCTTCCATCTCCGCTGGGGACAGCTGGGTCTGCATGAAGAGGTGGAGTAGAGTGTCTGACAGAAACACTGTCATGTGGAGCACCCTGAGGAGGCAGAGCAGAGGAATAACTCAAAAAATAGCCTTTTATTCCCTTTAATAAATGATTCTTCTCAGCAACTACCTTCTACAACAACAACAACAACAACAACAAGATTCCATTTATAAAGCGCCTTTCACGTCAGGAGGACGTCCCAATCAGTCTTTCTTGCACTTTATTGATGTATCCTCATCCTCACCTACAAGGCCATTCACGGCCTCACTCCCTCCTACCTCTCTGATCTACTATCCCCCTACCTACCTGCCCGTACCCTCCGTTCCTCTGGCTCCGGTCTGCTCCACATCCCCCGCCCCAACCGCTCTACCATCAGTGGCCGGGTCTTCAGCCTCTCAGCCCCGAGGCTCTGGAACTCTATCCCCAGTGCCTTCGCCGCTTCCTCCCTCTCCTCCTTCAAGGCCGGTCTCAAGACCTTTCTCTTTGACCTCCAGCCTTCAGCTCCCCTCTCGACTCTCTACCCCCTCCTCGCTCCCTCCCTTCCCCCCCTCACCCTGACCACTTCCCCCCTCCTCGCCCCCTCCCTTCCCTCCCCTCACCCTGACCATTTCCCCACTGCTCGGGTCCTGACCCAACTGTCCAGCGCCTTGGGACGTCCTCCCGACGTGAAAGGCGCTCTATAAATGGAATCTTGTTGTTGTTGTTGTATTATGGATGTCGCTCCTATGGACTTTACTCTGTTGTTCCTCTCAAACACATTAGCTTATGTTGAGAACCTTTATGTTTTTTATTTTCAGACAGTTATCTAATTTCCTCTTAAAAGCTATTAAAAATTCTGTCTCAACCGTGATTCTAGACAGAGCCTTCCACATCCTAACAAATCCTCTGTGTAGAACCCCTCTCCCTTTGTTTCAGCTTTTCTGTTTTGCCGCACACTCAGGCATGGAGCGATCTGCAGTATTCACCTTCTAACGTGTCATTATGAACGGAACAGTAACAGAGACTGAGAACAGCTGAGCTCCATCAGCTTTAAGATCAATACCGAAAAGAGATGATAGAAATGGCCCTGAAGAAACAAAGCTGGCCGTTAATCTGCCTGTGCGGAGACTGTGGTGACATTGAATTCACATTCAGACTGTTGTTAAGTGCTGCCTTATTTAGAGTACAGACAGACCCTGATAAGATCACTTGCTATTGGCTGAAGGGAGCCATTGTGCTGAGCAATACTGATCTCTGGGGGGGGCCGGGGGGCCGGGGGCGCAAGACAAAATCAGTGTAACTCTGAGACACCGTCAGCCTCTCAAACAACAGGATTCAACGACATTCAAAATTAACACGAAAATATTTTGCAAAGTTACAAAGTCAATTCACTTGACAGTATATTCTGTGAAGCGCTTTGAGACGAGTGACTATTATTATTAGCCTGATCAGGCCTCGAACCTCAAACATAAAAAAAACATTTCCGTGGCCGTGTTTAGACTCCTGACAGCCCATTCCCCTAGTGCCCGCCCCCACCTCGCTGTCCTTGCTGACCTTCAGTACCCAGGGATATCTGCTTTGACTCAGTTTGAAACCCACAAGCAGACGGCAGCCATGGCCAAGCTCCATAGGCTCTTTAACATCCACCTGAACACAGACAGACTTCTCGCGCTTGGTTAACATCTCATCCAAAGGGCATCATCTCCAAAACTACAGTAGCTCACAGTGATGAAACTATAAACTCAAAAGAAACGTATGATAGTAACGTGCCTTTTGGCCCATTATTTCACGTCGATGTTTGTTCCCCAAAGAATTCTTAGGCAATGCTCTCAGTGGCAAACCATGTAGCTTTAGCCAGTTAAACCTTCGTTCTTGCTAACCTGTAGCTAATACTCTCTGGAAATAGGTAAGTTCAGAACCAGGCAAATCTCTATGTGTAGGCGGCATACATGTAAAATACTTAGTCTGCTTTAGACACCTAAAACACGCTGATGGGCTTCTGCGGATATCAACAATAACAAATTATATTTGTAGAGCGTATCTCACATCGGGAGGATATCCTGATGCGCTGGACAGTCAGGGATAATTGCACCCAAGCTGGGGGTTGGGATCAGGAGGGGGAGGGCAGGGCGGATGGGGGTAGGAAAGTGTCCCAACGACGCGGTCGAAGAGGAAGGTTTTGAGACGGGCCTTGAAGGAAGCGACGGAGGGGGCGAGGCGAAGGGACTGGGATGAAGTTTCAGAGGGTGGGGGCAAACATCCGGTTGACCCAACAAAATTCCAGCAAACTGACTCAAGCAGCTGACACCCAACAAGACAGACGGGGACACCCTCAGGAGGTGAAAACCTGGCCGGGCAATGCTTCACCTCTTCCACTGCTCTCCCCACTCAATGTTCAGAATTCCTGCCGGAAACGCCACATGTGGGTTTCAATTCCACAGAACACTTTGCTTAGAAACTATTGTGGGCAAAGTGCACCTTATGTGCTAAATAACTCAAGGGCCAAAAATGCAGTTGAATAAGTCCACAGTTATCGACCGCTGCTGTGGTGATTGACACCAGCTGCCCCTGACCTCCCTAGACCTGGCTTCACCTTTGCTATCAGCTATTGAGGACCAAGGCTGCTCTGTCTGTGATCATAGTGTCGAACTTTGCAAAACATGTTGTCGTTCCTGACCCCATCCAATGCTGCTCTGTAACTTGGCACTGCTTCTGGGTTTCAGAACAGATATTTCAGGAACTATGTAAAGTCACAATCCCAATGATGCTCTCTTAAATGGAACAAGACAGACAACCTTTTCTTCAGCCTTAACTCTGGCATCTCTTACAGGATAAGCACACAGTATTTAAAGAGTAGGGTCTTTCTGGCCTCCCACCCCCTCCCCACATAACCCAATGAATAACATCCCTGCACGATACGGTACACATTGATAGTTCCCAGTTTGCTGTGGTCCCAATGCGTTGAATTAGAGAACTCAACGGAGAGAAGTTATAAAACAATAGCTTTTCCCATTTCAGGGAACGTTTGTAAAGCGCCATTTACGTAGGGAGGACATCCCAAGGCGCTGAACAGTCAGGGATTTGGGCTCAAGTCCATATTGAACCTGTCCCATTGCCTGTTCCAGGCCAGCCTCCTGCTCCAATGTCCATTGGCTGTACGTGGTGTCTCCCACCACCACCCGGTGAAATCTGTTTGATTTAAATCATGAAGTAACGACCGCAGCGATCTTGTTGTTGTTGTTGCGTGCTGAAGTCACCAGTTTCCACACTAGCCTAGAAAATACTCCACAACCAGCGTTGGTGAGTTCCATTTCTTTTGACCTTTCTTTCCCGCCCGAACTCATGCTAAGGGGCATCGCACAGGCGCTCACTGGGACCTCATTAAGTGGCTATTTTTTAATGCACACTTGGTATTGAGGCTGTTCGGTTTTACAGCCGAGCCCAATCCTGTCCTGACGTGCACTGTCCAGCAGGGGGCACTAGCAAACAATCCAGAACAAGTATACTGTCTGGTATTTGGAGCAGGAACAGTGACTAATGTTATATAGTGGGAATATTGGCTCATTCCCCTCCATCCCCTCAACCCAGTGCGAAGGAAAATTACAATTCCCAAATGCTGCTTCGGCTGAGATCGGCCCAACTCACAGACACGGCTCCAGGAGCTTTCAATATCATTGTTTGCCCAAACCTCCCCAATCAACCAACTCCCAGCAGATGTGACTCCTGTGGGCAGACATGCGAGAGAGCAGAGTGTGTTTACTGACTAAGTAGAAGATGCGAACATTGAAATCCGATCCTTTCCAACGCTGCAATTTTAATAAGGAATTTGTTACATGTCACCCATGTCTGCTGTTGGTAATTTAGTGCAACCGCTGTATGAACGGGTGATCCTTATATCAGAACAGTTTACCATCGTAACACTGCAATCTGCAAATCATATGCTCTATTTCCTCCACTGCTCTGGGCTCTGAAGCTTTGGATTAACATACAAACCCTCTATTTACATTCCTGGCTTTATTCATGGGTAAAGCTACTCAGGATTCCAGTCTGGAATAAAGCTGGTAATGTAACCAGCAGTAATAATTAATGCATTGTTCTCCCCTGTGCCCGGCCGTAACGGCTGTGCCTGTGTGACTGCACTATGCCAGGTTTAGTTTGGCATCTCTGCCTCCCCAGGGCTGGCTGCAAGTGCAGGCCTTTCGTGGGTGGAGGTGGTGACATCTGTACTAGGTTTCGCTGCCAGCAGCAGTTCTTGAGGATTTAGCAGCTGGTGATAAAGCATCAGGTCATCGTGTTCGGACTTTACTCAACCGGCTCCAATGCCTGGATTAACACTGGTAAAAAATCAGGACTGAAAATCCACTTGCGTTACTGTGGAGGCACCGGGTCAGGAAAAAGGCTGTCACGTTCTCGCTCATAGAATCCATAGAATCTTACAGCACAGGAGACCATTCGGCCCGTCGTGCCTGTGCCAGCTCTTTGAAAGAGCCACCAGCTAGTCCCACTCCCCCAACCTTACCGCCATGGCCCTGCAAATGTTTCCTTTTTGAGTGCCTATCCAATTCCCTTTTGAAAGCTATTATCGAATCTGCTTCCACTACCCTTTCAGGCAGAGAAACAGGAGGAGGCCATTCAAACCCTCGAGCCTGTTCCGCCATTCTATAAGATCATGGCTGATCTGTATCTCAACTACAATTACCTGCCCTTACCCCGTATCCTTTGATACCCTGACCCAACAAATAGACCTAACCGGCAGTGTATTCCAGACCGTAACAACTCTCTGGGTTAAAAAAAAATCTTCTCGCCTCCTCTCTGGTTCTTTTGTCAATTGTCTTTAATTATCTTAAATCTGTGTGGAAACATGCAGGAAGTTCACCAGGAATAGCTGAGGCTGTTTGTGTAATGACAGCCCAGCACCTCCACAGAAGCCTTGCCACCTGGGTGGGTGGGTGAGTGGAAGTCCTCAGTGGGGGTGTCTGGTGCGTCGGGTGACTCTCGCCCCCACTTCACTCCCGCCTCACAGGGTCAGCCAATTTAATGATGCTCACTGCTCAGACTCACCCACGACAGGT